ACAGTGGTGGCCAAAATCAAAAATCCGGAGGCATATCTCGATGATCCGAAGAATTTACATTTCGAGACAAATGTGAAGAGTAGAAAATACGAGTTGGTAAGAATTGCAATAGATTTTGTTAGTATGCTGTTTTTTTTTTTTTGTAGTAACTTAAATTGTTTGATTAACGTTGTTGTTTGCTTTGTGTAACTCTTATACAGTTTGTTCATGCACAATTTGTGAAAGACTACAACTTAAAGTTTACGAAACACGTAGAATACATCGATGAAATCGGGAGCGTAGAAGGAAGAACAATAAAATGGGAAGATGGACGTGTTTGTTTCAAAAGGTGGAAGCTCATACGCGAGAGGAATGAATTGAAGAAAGAAGACCGCATTTTGTGTGAACTCTTGCGTAAGAAAAAATTGGTTTACGCAATCAAAATTCATATCGTCCGCGAAAAAGATTTGTAGACATTTGTTAGTGTGCGAGTAGAGAGGGATTTGCTTTGCTTTAGTTTGTTGTACTCGCATGACATCATTCTCTGCATCTTTATGGTTTGACTATTTGAGTTTATTGACATCATTTTATCTGCTAATTTAATGAGTTCCCATCATTCTTAATCTTGTTATGTTCTACATGAGATCAATTAACATTGACTAGCTCCAAATATCATATTTATAAGAATATTAACAGTGCATATGCATTATATCATATTTATAAGAATATTTAACAAAGCATATGCATTTTTTTTTCTGGATACGTTGACCCTTTTTGGATTTTTAAAGCAGAAGTTCATATGTTTTATTTTAGTTTTATATTCTAAGCAGTACGCTAGTCGCCCCATCGATCTTTAAAACAAAACAAAAAAATCAATTATCATATTGTAGTAAGCAGATTCGTTTTCAAATAATTACGCAGCTATAATCATAAAATTTGGATATCATTTCTACAACTCAAATTTGGATATTAGTTCTTTTAGACGACTAAAAAAGATTTTTTTAAACAACTGGAAAAAAACTGTCTTTTGTCCCGAGTTGGTTCTTTTGTGCTCCGAGTTCAAACTTTTTTGGTACGGAGGGTTATTCTTTAAATTGAAATATCCAAAAACTGTCTTCGGGTACCGAAGACATTATGAGGCAGGTTCGGAACTCCCACGGTTTATAAATGAAAATATATATATATATAACTCAGAAAGAAATTACAGTTACATTGTCATTGAGTATTTTTTGTTTTTTTTTGTCAACTGTCGTTGAGTATATGATATTGCAACGAGTACACATTGTACGCATCAATTTGTTGCATCAAATCATGATCATATGCTCTTAATTAGTTGCCAAATATTTAGTAGTCAAGATATTCACAATGATTCAATGGTTGACAATTATGTATGTAGAACTATAGCAGATCTATTTTATTTCAAACAAAAATACCTAAAACTACATAGGGAATCATGATCATCTATCGATTTATATTATGTATAGGATTGCAGCCAGAGTTTGAGAGGAGTTAATTTGGAATTTGGTATCCTTTGTTAAACTGAGTATTTCAATTCAAAATAAACTGATAAGTAATAAGTTTTTTTTTTTGAAACTAGAGGGTAATCCGGGCTTTTACCACACGACTAATCTCCGTATGATGGGTGTAGCCGTCGAATAGTCTATTTACCATATTTTTCAAATAGGCCGAAAACGTGGCACCACTTCAACTAGACAAATAGAAGTGGTTAGATAATTTAACGGTATAGGAGAAATTGAACCACGACCTAA